ACTGAATGTAAACTCCAGACTGGTTCTTGTGAGCACTTGAGGAAAGTGCTATCTGGTGGATAGGCCAGGTATTCTCCTTTTCTTCTGTAGCCTGGCAACAAGCTAGCTCAGCAAGGAGGCTGTGATGCCTCAGGTAGAAACCAGGGTTGGTAAGGAAAACTCCCCAGGTGTCTGGTGTCAAAAGTTTGATTTTTAAACCAGTAAGATTGCAACCCCAATAGAAAAGCTCAATGCTTTCCAAATTGGCTGGGTGGTTCCTGCTTTCTCTCTACTCCACCATAAATAAGTGTGGTGACACAGCGTCTGGATCCCTGTTTTGGAACATTTCCCAAGGTGCACTGAGTTGTGCCACGCCCAGGTCCTACTCTCCATGGGTAGGTGAGCAGGTGGGGAATTCTGTGTATTCAGCTATCCCTCAGTCTTTATGTTTTTGTATTGGGCCTGCACCATGTATTGTTTTGTTCATTCAAGACATGTATTGCTCAGTTATACTGAAATCTGAAAACCACTGACTATGTAGTATTTAACTTTTTTACTCATGGTTTGAAAGAAGCAAACACTCCATTAAAAGTCACTCCCTCCTTCTACAGAGGATATTTTATTACGACTATTTTAGTTGGAAGTCATTTAAATAGAAATATTGCAGAAACAGCTTTTGAAATTTTGACTTAAGATGTATCTTTAGATGCTTTCATAAGATGTTACCATAGCTAAAGCTTAAATTGGGGTTCTCTTTTTCGTAAATATATAGAAAGGCTTAAGCATGAATGTTGATTATGAGCTCAGTTAAAGATGCTTATAGTGCAACAGTTCCTATGCCTATTGAATGGGATTCCCTTTTTTTCTTGTGATTATTACCATGACAAAATTGCAGAGACAATTCTTAAGAAGTTTAAGTATGGGGCCTCCCTGGTGGTGCAGGCAGTTGAGCGCCACACTGTGAGGCTGTCCGCAGCCTCTTCAGCACGGGTTCGGTCCAGAACATGGTGTGGCAGACCTCTCCTGTTTTGCCCGCTGCTCCCCTCAGTAGTGTATTTCATCAGTCTACCTGTTCTATTCCCCGCTCTGTCTCTGGTGAATCCTCTCACCCTCCTGCGCATCTGGCCTGTACCCAGGTTCTTGTACAAAAATAAAATCTTTTAAAAAATAAAGAAGTTTAAGTATCTTTGACCTCGGTGAAGTAGCTAAATATTTTGTGATCATCAAACCCAAATACCTGTTGGGATAAACCCAGGAAGGTGACCATTATATTGTATGCTGAATATTACACCTGTGAGGACAATCTAATGGAAGCAGGGATTTTCCAAAGAAAACAAAGTAACTCTTGGAATGAGGAACCACTGAAAGAAAACATAATAACCAGACTAAGATTCTTCAGTCTACATAGAAAAACAAAGGCAGAAAGGAGAGAAGACTGAAGTCTGTAAAATGAGAGGAATGAAAAAGGTAAGCACAGTTCATCATTAAATTCGTAGCATTGGGGCCTCCCCGATGGCGCAGCGGTTGAGCTGGGTTGCGACGCTGCATCTGCTCAAGGAGGTCCACATGGCTCGCAGACCTCTCCTGCCGGTGAGCAGTGTACTCGGTCCTTCTGCCTTGCGGCTCTGGCTAATTCTCTCAGCGCTTCTGACTGTACCCAGTTTGTATAAACAAACAAACAAATAATTCATGTCTATAAAAAAAATCTTTAAAAAAAAAATAAATAAAAAAATAAATTCGTAGCATTAATGAGGGTGCATCTCTAAATTTTTGTTGAGGTAAGTTTAAGGGAATTAGAAAAATAACTTCATGTACAAAAAATAGAACTTATTTCACCCTAAGTGGTGATACAGTAGGTATTTTACAAGTGAAGATAAAGGCTGATGTGCAGAGTGGTGAGTGCTGAACCTTGAAGTCTATAACCTGAAGAATGCCTGGTCTTGCCGCCGTTTTTCTGGTGATACATCCCCTAGAGAAAAAATGTTTGATGGGCTAGGCAACCAGCCCAAGGTGATAATCATGATTTTAGGAAATAAGAAACAGATGAATAAAATTTTAAAAAATGATTAGCAAAGGAATCGCAGGATGCTTGTGGGTTGACTAAAAAACAACTGGGATAAAGATTTATACATGATGCTGGAGGCTTTATCATACAAAAGAAAGCTAAGTTTTTTTCCATCAAATATTAGCATGTGAGTCACTGCTTGCATTATTCTGGGATAAACCTATTTTTATTGACCTATAAGGCCTATATAATCTGATCTCTATTCTCTCTCCACCCTCTGAGATCATCTGTCATGTTCCCACTCACCCACTCTGTGCTGACCACACTGTCCTACTGGCTGTTTCTCCAACACACCCACCTTTTCCTGTGTGGTTTTTATTGCCTGGATGCTCTTCTCCCATAGACTTGTTCCCTCTCTTCACCCCAGGCTCTGTGGAAAAGTCACTTTATCAGACTTGACTATCTCATCAGGGAATAGTTTACTTGGTTTCATTTTTCCTTTCAGCACTTAACATCACCTGACATTGTATAATTTTTTTTTATGACCTGCCCACTGTAGTGTAGGTCAGTTCTGTGACAAACTTTATATTCCAAGTCTAAAGCAATGCCTGGCATAGGATATACATTCAATAAATCCTTGTTGAGTGGAGAATGAACCAGGTTCACTACTGTTTTTGCTAGGTGGCATAGGAATTAAAGTTAAGGTGAAATAGAAGTCATGCCTTCTAAACAGTTGGCGACTATTAGATTCTAGGTATGGCAGACCCTGCCTTCTAGCTTGTTATAACACATTTGGAAAAGAGCCAGTATTTAGGATTTGATTCTGTAAACATAGGTTTATCTAGGTAACTTAATTCTCATTCCATGTATTTCAAAGTCTATAGCCTGCACCTAGATTTCTATGATTTCTTTGCAATCTTTTATTTTTTTTTTTCTTGCTTTTACCACCTTCAGTTTTGGAGTCATCTTGTCATGTGCTTCCTGGTTTCAACATGTGAAACTTGTTAGCTTTCAAAAAAAGTCAAGCAAATGACCGGCATATAAGCAGGGGATTCACATTTTAGGGAAGTAGGGGAATTCCATATATTGCTGGGAGTTGGGGCATGTAGGGTAAATAACGTATCAGGCTTTTCTGCCCTCCCGCCATTAGGATTAATGATGGAATCCTGTGGTCCTGAATGCATGCCTAATTGTGGGCACCTGGAGTAGGGTGTAGGCCTATGTAAGTGGGTACACCTGGGCTGAGAGACTGGGCTTATAAGAGCGGTGTCACGGAGATGCCAGCAGAGCGAAAGGAGGAGAGAAGCAAAGCCTATGAGAGAACATCCCAGAGCCTGGAAAAAGTGAGGACTCGCTGGGGTCTGGGAAGCTGGCAGGCCTGCCAGCCTCCTAGCACCCCCCCACCCCAGCACACCTGTCTACCTGCCTGCTGTGTACCTGGTAAATCCCAAAAAGCCCTGAAAAGGCCACGAGGGTTCCAGAACTCCTTCACCCATCTGCATAGGGTCATAGAGATCCTGCACTATGCCTTCCTGCCTCTACAGGGCAGTTACATCAGATCAACAAAAATAACTTTAGGTGAATGTTAAAGAGTACCATTTATTAAGATCATTCTACCTCTTCACTCCCTCCCCCTTCTTTTCATTGGTTTATTCATTCTTCTGTCTTCTTTCTCTGTCACATTCCCGGCATCATCTTTCTGGGACTGTCTTCAGAGAACTCCAAATTCTTTGTCTTTGTTTGGTTCCCCCTCCCAGACTTAGCTCTGTTTTTCTTTTTTAATTATTTTATTTATACATACAAGAGCTGAGATGTAGCACCAGAGGTGGTGGTTGGGGGGAGAATGAGAGGATTCACCAGAGACAGAGTGGAGAGCAGAACAGGTGGATCTACTGAAATACACTGCTGAAGGGAACAGCGGGCAAGACAGGAGGGGTCTGCTGAGCTACTGGATCAGCTCCCTGGCTGGGGGTCAAACTCACGCTACAGTGGCTGTTGATAGATTTTTAGTGCTGAGACTTAACCCCTTGAGCCACCGGGGAGGCTCCTCTGTTTTTCTTTTCATGCTCCTATTCATCAAGGCACTTAGTAGAAAACCAGCAGGAGCAGCTGTAACCAACACAATCATCATCAATTTCCTTAAGGTCCTCCCTCAAAAGATAGGTGCAATGTTTCCTTAGTTATGAACATTTTCTAAGATTTCCTTGTTAGTAGTTCAAAGCAGTACATCAGTCTTAAATCTTTTGAGGGAAATAGTGTATAGTGTAGGTATAAAATAGCTACTATTGCAGGTTTTTCACTGTGATGGAAAAGAAACTAACATTTATAGAAAAATACTATGAGAAATATTGTTGGTCTAGGTGTTTCATGTATTCACTTACACACTTTCACTAAAGGCAGTTTACTTCAATTTCCAGCTTTCCCATCCATGATACCCATGGACTGTCTCCGGAGACTCAGTGACCATGGCCAACAGCCGCCCCCAAGCAACTTTGTTTCTATATAATGGGAGCATACAATCACTGTTTTCTAAGACAATACAAAATTCACCTCGCAAGGAAGTTCAGATCGCTCGTTTTGTTTCTGTAAGATTGGGCCTTTAACTAAAATTAAATGTGTAAATATAATGTGTTTTAGGAGCATTTCCTTTCTTTCTTGACCAGCAGGCTTGGCTTCAGACTGGTAAACCATTAGGCAGAATTTGATGGGCTTCAACCTTTTTCTAGTCATCGGAAGTCTCCTGTCTGGATAATACGCACTTAAGGCGATCAACAGCAGCTTTGTTTCTTCCGCTGCAAGGCCCAGGAAACTAGCAACTTCAGGATGACCTCACAACGCCCGAGAGACGCTGGGCGCAGCAGGGGTGGAGGTGGGAGGGAAAAGGGGGTCGCCTTCGAGCACAGCGGCTGCCCGCCCTAAAACGCCCCACCTGCAGTTCCCGCCCTCGCTGGTAGGACCAGCCCCGGGCGCGCGCGCGCGCGCGCGCAGGCCCGAGCGGAGCCCGCCGTGACGTCAGAGGCGCGACGCGTCGCAACGCAGTGCAAATTGGGAAAAGGGGGATGAGCTGGGCTGGCTTCGGTCGGGACGGAGAAGCGAATTTTCCCTCCGGTTGGTGGGAGATGGGCCTTCGGAAAGGAGGCCGGCGTCAGTGAAGCGCGCTGGCGCCACGGTGAGTGCGGGTCGGGGGCCTGGCCCTTGTTCCCCGGGGACCCGTCGCGGTGAGCCCCGTTCCTCCGGCTGCCGGTCGCCCGGGAGACCAGCCCTGTCCGCGGAGGGGGTGGGACAACCGCGACCAGAAAATTAGCTTTCGGAGGAAAGGCCCAGACTCGAGACGGTCTGGCTGCCCACCTAGGGTTTCCCCGCGAGTTTCGCGTGAACTCAGGTTTTTCCGTCTTAGAAGGTGCTCGACTAATTTCTCTTCCTCCTTCGACACTCAGACCCGACTTTGACCTCCTTCCTCTTGACTGCGTTTTCCGATTTTTCTATTATCGATCTACAGACCCAGGCCTTACGACAGTCTCTCCAGCTGCTTCCGAGTCCCATTAAAATCTGACTTGGTTTTAATGAAGTACAGTAGGAGTTAAAGCCCATCAGAGTTAAAACTATGACTGCCCCAATAAAAGCATTTTCTTTCCTAAAATATGGCCTCTTCCTTAGAGTTGTGGGACAAGTTAATTTCACCTCCACTCCACCTTGGAAATTAACAGAGCCGTGAATCGCAGTGATGTGCGTTTGTACTGAAAGCTACAGAGCACACTTCGGGGTTTAATTCTTGCCTCCAGTTTATTCTGTGACCTTGAAGCAAGTCATTTAATCACTAACAGGATATTTATCTGACTCACAGAGGTGTTGCAGAGCCTACGGAATTTAACGTTTGTTAAGAGCCCTGATGGTTTTAGATGAAAGGGATACCAACTAAAGCATGCTACTCTTTCGAATTGCAAGCATCCTTCGTTTTGCATATATCCTGCTGCAGCCATTAAAAATGTCAAGTGATATTCGTTAAGGAAGTGTTTCTGTTCTTGCCTTGCTGTGCGACTTTGCCATGTAAGCAGATTTTGCGTTTCAACAGATTCTGTTTAATGTTCACTGTTGAATGTCTTTCATGGTGGATATTTCTTATGACCCCACTGGACCTGTTTATCTAAAAGGTGATGTATTTTGTGCAGTGTCTTTATCATATTGATATGGGTGGTTTGAAATGTTTATTTTCTTTTGATACATTAGATGCACCTTTAAAATTAGATAGTAAGGAATTGTAATAGTAAAATAAAACAAAAATTAAAAAGCCCGCCAACTAAACTGCCTTTCAAGATGTAAATTTTTTTTTTATGATTTTTAAAATTTTTTATTTATACAAGAGCTGGGTTACAGGCCAGAGGCGTGGGAGGGTGAGAGGATTCACCATAGACAGCGGGGAGCAGAAAGGGCAGACGGACCCAAAGCACTTCTGAGGGGAGCAGCGGGCGAGATAGGAGAGGTCTGCCTCGCCATGTGGGCATCTCCCTGGCCGGCCAGGAATTAAACCTGTGCTGCAGAGGCTGCGGACAGCTTCACAGCGCTGAGCTCAACCTACTGCGCCACCGGGGGAGACCCTCAGAATGCAAATATTCATTAACCGCATATAGGTTCGTGTTGTATGAGAAAACGGCGCATGAGGAAAACTAACAAAAATATTCTAGGGCTGTCTGTCTGGCATTTTGATCTTTTATATATTTACTTTATTAGTCATTAGGGCCATTTTGTTTATCAATGTGAGTATAATAGTGTTGAGCCACATGGATTTTTTTCAAAGTAAGACAACTTTGAACATGTCTAACAGAACAACAGCATGTCATATTCCTTTCATTAAGTGTCTAGGATTATATTATGGACTAAATGAAATGAAAATGCACTTATTTTTGTAAAGATGAAAGGGGAAAAATGGCCATTAACTATAAATTGCTGATTAGATTAGATGTCATTAAGGAAGGATTTTTTAAAAAAATTAGATAATTGTCCCATTTACCCACAGTTGAATAATAAATCATTCCTTAACGTAGTGTCTTAAAACTAAGAATATAGTATCTCTGGTTTGTTTAGGTTGACTGGACTCAGCTGCTTGGTTCTCATTTAAGAGTCTTGCATTTATAGTCAGATAAACAGCTGAGGTTGGAGACACCTGGAACTATTTATTTATGCATACAAGAACTGGGGTGTAGGCCAGAGGTGCAGGGGGAGTGAGAGCATTCACCAGAGACAGAGTGGGGAGAACAGGCAGAGCTACTAAAATATACTGCTGAGGAGAGCAGAAGGAGAGAAAGAAGAGGTCTGCTGTGCTATGTGCGGCAGCTTCCTGGCTGAGGTTCAAACTTGTGTTGCAGCGGCTGGTGATAGCTTGACAGCGCTGAGACTTTAACCCCTGCGCCACCAGGGAGGCCCTAAGATGTCTCTTTTGTATGAATGTCAGTTGAAGTTGACTGGGAGTTCAGTTTGGGATATCAACTAGAGTGTGTGCACATGGCCTCTTTATGTAGCTTGGATTTCTCACAGCATGGAGTCTTGAGTTCCAGAGCAAGTGTTTGAAGAAACAGAATATGGAAGTTGCCGGTCTCTTAACAGCCTGGAGCCAGAAATTGGCAGTACATTGCTTCCAATATAGTCTATTGAGTAGAGAACTCAAAGAGCCTATACCCAACCACAAGGTCAAAATATTTGTGACCCTCTTTAGCTTACCATAATTTTGTAAGTGTATTGTATTCACCTAATGTTGGGATTTAATAACAAGTGCAGAATTAGGTATTCTTCCAGTTTCTTTAACCATAATGGTTTATATCTTCATAGCATAGAACAGTTTTCAGAGCATTTTTCTCTCTATATTTTTCATTTGATATCTGTGGGAAACTATAGCTGCAGCTGAATCATTCCCATTTTGCAGATGCAAATCAACTGAGGAGTGGCATTGGTGGTATTAGGAGGATATAAGAAATTTGCTTTCAGTCTGTGTGATGAGTGGGAAATGAAACAAACTATACAGCACTTTCTTAATAACCATCTGTTAGTAAATGGTGAAATGTTCAACCTATTTGTAGCCGTACTAACTCAAGTAAAACAGTATTCACATACAGTGAATAGCAATCTTGTCACGATAGCTAAACCTTGTTTCTCTTATCTTGCAATTTTTCATAATACTTTTAAGAATACCAACATGTTTTTCTTACATAGTGAAATTATTACACATTGCAATATCAATTTCAAACAAATTGGATAATATTGTAAAAGCTATGGGTTTGGGATTTCTGGGGCTTTAATTTTAATTTCTCAAATCAAAATTAAAATGAGTTCTCAATTTTGTTAGTTTGAAAATGTTATCACATATTAAGATGTTGATTTCAGATGAAAAGTAATTTTCATCTTTAGAATTTTTTTTTTTTAAGTGACATGCTTTGATCATTCTTAATGTCCCTGGTTCTCTATCTTGACTGCACATTAGAATTCACCCAGGAAGCATTTTAAAAATACCTTTCTGCCAGTCTTGTAAATTGATAAAATCTTATTTAAGATACGTATGTGCTGGCCCCATGCAGAAATTCTGATCCTAACTGTCCAGGAGTGGATTCTGGATTCTGGGCATCAGTAATTGTTAAAAAACTATCTAGGTGATTCTTATGTAAAGCTTGGATTGACAACTGTGTCTTTTTTTTATGGTACATTCTAAATATGATCTCGTTCCTTACTCATTTGTTTTACATCTGTTAAAAAAATTAAGGGGCTAATAAGGGAGACTTAAGAAATGGATTAAGGTCATATTAATACGTGTAGATAGACGCTTATTCTGGGAAGCAGATAACCCTCTGTTTATTTCTGCAAATTGTACTTAATAAAACTAAGATTTTGGAACATTTGTTAGTACTATATTCTGGAACTAAGTATACTTTGCTCTGAATTACCATTGTGTGCTTAACTTTCATCTTGAGGAATTTTGTAACCCCATTAACTCCCAGCACTAGATCTGATTAGATGTAGGTTTTCTAAATGTTGACCAAATTGAAGCCTGTTTATACAGTCGCTCTTGAGAACTAGACTATTTTACCTCTCCTTTTAAAAAGTGTCATAAGAGCTCTGTAAAAGTTTCTTGAAATTCTCTCTTATTTTTTTTTTTAAATATTTATTTTATTTATTTATTTATACAAGTACTGGGTACAGTCAGAAGCGCGGGAGGGCGAGAGAACTCACCAGAGCCAGAGCGGGGAGCAGAGCAGGCAGAAGGACCGAAGTACACTGCTGAGGGGAGCAGCGGGCGGCAGGAGAGGTCTGCGCGCCATGTGGGACCCTCCTCCGGTGGCCGGGGAGCAGCCGGGGATCGAACCGGCGCCGCGGAGGCCTCGGGCAGCTTCGCAACACAGCGCCCAACTGCTGCGCCACCGGGGAGGCCCTCTCTTTCTCTTTTAAAAGATTTATTTATGCATACAAGAGCTGGGGTATAGGCCAGAGATGTGGGGGTTGAGAGGATTCATCAGAGACAGAGAGGGGAACAGAACAGGCAAACTGACTGAAATACACTGTTGAGGGAAGCAGTGGGAGAGGAGAGGTCTGCTTCGCCATGTGGGTTTCTCTCTGGCCGGCTGGGGATCAAACTTGCACTTCAGAGGCTACGGATTGCTTCATAATGCGGCGCTTAACCCCTTGCGCCACCAGGGAGGCCCGACATTCTCTTTTCTTTGATTTTCCTGAGATTGCACTTTTCTGGTTTTCCTTGTTCCAAATGACGTCTGTGTCCTTTCTCCTTTAGAGTCCCTCCCTCTTCTCCCCCCTCCCTTCTAATTTTCATGTCACCTGTAGAGAAACAAGATCTTGTTTCCTTGGTGATTCATTTTGCTGATTTTACTAGTATAAATGGTGTCTATTTTAAAAACTATTACAGAAATTTTTAAAAATTTACATATAAGTAAAGAAAATAAACCATGCTGGAGATAACCTGCCAGTGTCAATACTTCTTAAAACTATAGGAGATATCAAAACTAACATTAATGACTTTCCATTTGACTTAATGTCTGTCTGGTCTCTGTATACCTGATGTCTAATTACATTTTATATCTCTGTCAGGGCATTTTTAAGGATTGTTACTTCTCAACAGGTTCAGAATTGAATTTCTTATTTCCTATAATTAGCAGTGGGGGGTGGGGTGGGGTGGGAGGGGTAATTTTGCTCCTGAGGGTGCATTTGACCATTTTTTGTTGTTAACAGTTTTAGGGGGTAGTTACTAGTGGTATTCAGTGGGTGGAGGACAGAAATACTGCTAACATCCTACTGCACAGGGCAACCTGCAACAACAAAGATTTATCTGGTCCAGAAGATGAGTAAGATGTCCGGCTTGAGAAATGCTGCTGTAAAAGGATCAGTTTTTTAAACTAGAGTATTCACTTTTCATTAACAGATTATCATTCTTTACTTGCTCAGGATAGACAGGGTATGTGTGTGTAAGAAAGAAAATAATGCTTTTCAGTCTTTTACCAAAGAATGTTTTTGCCTTTTTTGCAGAGGCTTTCTAGTTATACTTCTGCCCTCCCTTGTTCCTTCTCTCCTTCGAATCCACCTTGCGTAATCTTCACTTTGACGCTGAGATACTATTTTTTTCTTCAAGAACTAACAGTTTTGGATGACTTCAAAAGTCCTGTATATATGCAACTTCATATTCTTACCTGATGTAATTTATTATTGTTAGCCAACAATTAAGTTTTGTGTGTATGAGGACTACCGAGCTAGATGGTAGGAATGAAAACATGTCAATGTGTAATCCCTTGATCTAGTTGATTATTTCTCCATAATCTCTGTAGACGACCTTATTTTGTTCATTGCTTTCCCATACTAATTCCCTGTTTTGTATCTTTGTTAATGTTGGTTTCCTCTTCTGGAATTTCCTTCATTCTAACTCTACTAATTATTGTCAGAAAAGTCATGATGCATTTTTGCTTGAAAACCAGAAAAAATACATCATGACTTTTCCGATAACCCAATACTATTTTTATTGCCAGTTTCTGTTGCTATCAACACATTAAATTGAGAAT